ATTCTTTATTAGTTTTTATTTTTCTATTATTTATGTAAGATTTCTATCAAACTGATTTTACTGTATATTTTGGAAATTCTCTCATTTTTAAAAATGTTTTTAAACAAATAGCAATTCCTTCTACACATAATAAATCATATCTATTTGCTCCAACTTCAATTTTATATATTGTTTTTCCTTCTTCTTCAACAACATCATCAAGTTCAATTCCATATTGAAAACATACTTCATCAAATTCTTTTTCAGCTATTCTGTTAAGTATATTATTTGTTATATTAACTTAAATTAAATAATTTCTTATTTACAAACTAAATTCTTTTCCAATTAATTTAAAAAGATATTTGCTATCACAACTAATTGTTGGCATTTGATGATTTTTTTATTTAAGTTCATTTTTCTTTTTCTTTTGTTTTGTTTTAAAAAAAAAATAGGGTTTTTTCTTGTTTTTTTTTAAATGAATCATAATTCAATTGATGTGGATTACAATATTCGTGACGTGGTATTTTAAAACATTACTTCTTTAAAATATGTTTTTTATTCCTTTTTTATTCTTTTTTGATAATGAGTGAAAAAGGCAACAATATATTTTTTTTTTGAATATTTTTGTTTTGAAAAATATATGTTTTTATTCTTTTGTTGTTGGTTTTAATTTTATATTATTCAATTACCTAGAAAGACGAAGAAATAAAATTCTTATAATGAATGAAATTTTATATTAATTAGTTTATTATTGATGTTATTTATTTTTAATATATTGAAAATCTAATTAGAATTGTTGATTATCATTTTGTATATTCTTATTATTTATTCTTTTTACAATATTCATTTGTCTTTTATATTTAAATCATCACAGTTATTTGAAAGAATTTATTAAATTTGTTAATATAGTTAAAATCGTATTTATGTTTTAAATGTTTAAAGTAAATAACAATATGTTGTGTATTATTTTTATCATTTTAATAATTAGTATTATTGTTAATTAACAATTTATGAATAAATATATGAATTTTGTTGAATTGAAATTCTTTATAATTTCAAATTAACAATAATACCAATAAATATTACAATAGATTCAATTTAGTAATATAAATATAATTCAAATGAATTAAACAAAGAGATTTTGAAGTATTATAATCAATTTTAATCAACAATAA